CCTCCTCTAGTGGTACATTATTAGTACTTGTACCACCACCATTTTCTACAACATTTTCTTGAGTTTCGGGGGAGGTAAAAGAAGTGGGTTCATTTCCTTGAGATTTCATTCTTTTAAACATGAATTGTCGAAGAACGGGTTGATTTGACATGTCCTAATTTAATCAATAAGAATGCAAACAATGAATCAATAATAATTCAATTACCATCGTATATTCATATCATACAATCCAAATAACAAAACAATTTAACCATTAGAAAATTAGGATTTAAACATTGGAATTCAACAATTAACCATTAGAAAATTAGGATTTAAACAATTAGCACTTTTAAAAAATTGGCACTTAAACAATTAAAAAATAATAAGATTTAGGGTTTAGAGGGTTAATTTATAATTAAAAGTTACTTACTATGAATTTGGGGAAAAATCAAAGAAAAATTGATTGATGGTGGACTGCCGGTGGGGTGTCAGCGGTCGGCGTCAGTCGTCAGGTTTCGCTGGCGTCGATCAAATCGTCAGTTATGACTCGTAAAGTCGCAATCCCGTGGAGCGTGGTTAGTGGAATTGTAAAAGAATTGTTACTTTTTTAACTTTTCATGTTAGTATATTTTTTGTTTTATATATGATGTGACTTTACTTCAACTTTTTCTTTTTTTGTTTGTGGGTCAGTTACAAGTCTTACAACTTGTACAAACCTTTGTAGTCGTGTTTTGCAAGTTTGATTTTTTTTTTTAATAATAAAAATCTGATTTTTTTTTAAGTGGGGGGACAGCTGTCCCCCCTTGTACCCCTCTCCCTCCGCCACTGATGGTTTGGGCGGCTAGAATGGGGGTTGACACTTCATGGGTTTCGTGGAAGACGGAGGCGAGGTGATGGTTTAGGGAAAGGGAGTTAGGCGCCGGAGCCGGTGGGGTTAGGGGCCTGGGTGGGTGTGGTGGCTAGGGCTGGCGGGTGGTGGGTGGTTTTTTCAATTTTATTTTTTAATTTTTTATTTATTCTTAATCAAATTTTATTTTATTTTATTTTTTTTACCAACCATAGGCCGCCACGTGTCATGTAACTTGTTATAACAGGTTATATGACCGGTTGGGACTATTTTAAGCGGATTGAGTATAAAGGTGGGATTATTAAAAAAAATCCCAAATGTGGGATTATCAATCGCTGACACCTCAAAGGTAGGATTATTCCCAACAATTTTTCCTACTTATTATCTATAAAGAAAATTGATGTATTATTGTAGGCGACGTTTGAAGTGCGCCTACATAAAAGCATGTTGTGAATATGTTTGGCACTCATAGGAAGTGGGAATTGACGTATACGATTAGGGACTAATAAAGTAGGGAGTCGCTAACAATTTTTTAAGAAACTTGTAAACCGTTCACGGATCATAAAAGGCAACCACGATTAAGGGACAACAATAGGCAACAACGATTGACCCGTGAAGGTTACACCCCATTCATAATCCATGAGATTACTAACTCCATATGGTTTGGAACCACGAAAGGAGGATCGGGGATGATGGTACGAAGTGAGTCATAGAGTCACATTCGCCCGTATTGGCCTCTACTCGATTCTTATAGTGAAAAATGATTCCTGCGATCTCAAAGGCATACAAACAAAAATTCAATTTGCTCCAAACTATTATTAAGCTAAATTGGTTGAATATTAATGCAACACATAATTCTAAAATATTTGTGATCACTTTAATTAATAACAAGATTAAAATGGAACCTAAACCGGTGGTCCAAATTATCTTATAATGCATGATTTTCTATTACATATTCCCTTTAAACATGCTCAATAATGCTCAATAAATATAATAAAATTAACATTAATATTGGAAGCAATTTAACAATAAATCCAACAATATAAAATCGTTAGAAAAATAATAGAAATAAAAGGAACATAATTCTTACTTTGATTATGTTTTTTTGCAACTATAAAATAATAAACGAGTTAGTAACTTCAAGGAAAATTAATAAAACAATAATTAAATTAAATTAAATAGAGTTGATTTGGGGCCAAACCCTCAAACAGTTCTACCTTTCACGCCTTGGTTTAAGGACAAAACCTCGAGTAAAGTATAGACTCCTTGGAGTGCTTGAAGAGGGAATTTTGAAAGAAGAAGGGTAGGCTAGTGTTTAGACTAGAGCATAGAAGAGAGAAAAGGAGAATTAATTGATGTCCCGTACATCAGAAATGAGGAGGTATTTATAGGGAAAATGAGTAGAGGGAACACACGGAACCCTAAAAAGATAAAAAAAAAAAAAAAAAAGCCTAAAAAATAACACCACGACACGACAGAGAACGCCACGACACAGTGCCAAATACCGTCAGACGGGGGTAAATCTCGTGACACGGGGAATATAGTGTGACGCAGGAAATAATTAGGTTACGGGAGATAAAACGCGTAAAGGGTTTACGCGAAAAGGACACGGAGCTACCCCGTGGCACAGCATTGGCACCGTGTCACGGAAATGCACACCGTGGCGCGGCATTGGGCCCTGTGACGCGGTGCTTTTTGCCGTGACGCGGGAAACTCTGCGTCCATTTTTTCGTCTAAATACATTTTTGCCCTAATTTCGTTCAGCCTTTTTAAGTGTCGATTAATAATTATGGGCCATTTTTTATTTATTATTTATTAATTGGGCCAAAATAATAAATAAAATAAATATAATAAAAAGGATTGGGCCAAAATAATAAATAAACTAAATAAAATAAAAAAGGTTTGGGCCAAAATTAAAAATAAATTATGCTTTGACTAAACATCAAGACTGATCCATGGACTATTAAAAACTGAATTTAATTAAATACGATTTTTTAAGCACTCTCGGGATTAAATATTAAACCCGACCTATAATGGCGGTGAAATATTAAACATTTTTAGGTGTCTACACTTATTTGTTTTTTCAAATACCATTAATATCAATTTTTTTACCAAAATTCCCTCTAATATGCAAACAATATTGTGCAGATTTAACTTTCCCATATAAATTTTGCTTTTCCATGTATATTTATTATTATTTTCTCTCTACTTTTTTGCATGCTCAATGTAAATTTACTTTGTCAATGTACTTTTGCTACAATATTGTGCAGAGGGTCTATTACCAAGCTTGCCAACGCATGTTTTTAACGATTAATATCTCTAATTATCAAAATTGTAAAATTATAAAAAGTGGATATTAATAAAATATACATTGAAACAATTCAAACAAGATTCCACATGTATATGTTTTATCGTATTTATAAACCACAAAAGCGAGTCAAAGCGTGTTGTGTGAATAGTGTAAGAGTCAAAATGTGTCAATTAAAAAAAAAAAAAAAAAAGACGACACATATTCTTATAAGTGGTTGGCTATACCGTATAGCCTATTATGGGGATCACTTCGTTAGTATTACTCGGTCAGTGTTATAGGTGTTACTTTGTTTTTTATAAACGGCCACATGGTGTGGCCAACCGCACACAAAATTCGCAATAAAAAAAAAATTGATTTAGATAATCCAACCTTTGCTCGATTAATTTTTAATAATCCGACCTTTTAATTATTCATGAATAATCCAAGCTTTATACCCCCATTCTATTTTATTAGGCCAAACTAGTTACCTTGCCACGTGTCTTGTTTTGGTTCGCCTATATATATATATATATATATATATATATATATATATATATATTTACTTTTTTAAAAAAATGATATTTTTTTTTCAATTTTCTCCCTTCCTCCATTAAATCCGGCCACCATGGCCCTCATCACCTCCCTTTTCGGCTACCCTGCCCTCAACCTCCCTTTCTGGCCACCTTATCTTTCCGGCCACAACCCTTTCGAGACCAGCCAAAATCCACCCGAAAACCCCCATTCGGAATCCGGCATCCTCCAAAACCCCCACCTTTGAAAATTCCACCAGCCACCACTAACATCGACTTCGCCCAAAACCATCTCTCCTATCACTAGCAAACCCCGAAACCCCCTCCCCTATCAACATGCTTTAATCCACCTCCGGCAGCAACCGCAAGCAGCCGCCACCAATCGCCCCCGCTACTCCCTTACGCACCAAACCCGTAACGCCACTCACCTGCGAGCCTTCTGCTGCTCAGTACCAACGCCACCTGCTCGCAACCCCTCGCGTAACAGAACCACGCCCATTGGCAGCCTCCAATTCGAACAAGCAAAACCGTATCCCACGGCACTGCGGAGTTGGGAGTTGAGTAGGAAGGCAGAAAGGAAGGGGAAGGGCAGGAAGAGTGCATCAGTGGCAAAGGGGAAGGGGAGGGAGGCTGGGAGGAGGAGGAAACAGAAAAGGTTGTTTTTTACATTTGTTTTTCCTTTGTTTATTTTTTAAAATTGAAAAGAAAAGAAAAAGAGTTTTTCTAAGCTATGCCCTAAGGTAGTCGAGATTCTAAGGTATACCCATGCTTTTTCAAATTTCTAAGTTGTGCCCCTCAACTCACTACCATTAATGAATGATACCCTACTTGGGACTTCCACGTCACCTATAGTTAGCTATATATTTAATAAAAAGATGATAAGAGGTAAGGAAATGATACGAGAAAGAAATCTTAATCACAACAACCCGAATAACGAAAACTAAAGTCACGAAATCACACTCTCAATTAACTTTTAAATAACTAATAAGGGTACATTTTAGTATTGATAAGAAGTTGAAGGGTACGACTTAGAAACTTGAAAAAGCATGGGTACACTTTAGAAACTTAACTACCTTAGGGGTATAGCTTAGAAAAACCCAATAAAAAAAAACGAAATTACTTAAAGAACAGGTAACTGGTAATCTTGGCCTAATAAAAAAGAATAGGGTGCAAAGCTTGGATTATTCATGAATAATTAAAAGGTCGGATTATTAAAAATAAATCTGGCAAAGGTTGGATTATTTAAATAAAATTTTCCTAAAAAAAATTGAATAAAATTATAAATTTTATCATATAAGTATGTAAAATGTTACACGGGCATAAACCTAGTTCATTTCAACATTTGAATGAAAAATGCACAAATCAATAATGATACGGTAATTGAACTTCAAACTAGTTAGCAATGGCTGCCTATACATGGGTATAGCTAAAACTTTACATTTGCATTTGCATTGCACTTGCATGAATAGCTTAGCTTTGGACTTTGGTGGACAGCCAAATAATTTAGATGGAAGACGAAGAGCCTTAGACAGTGAGACTAACCAAAACAAACTCCTGCACGTCTAAAGTCCAATTCTATAAATGGCAGGTAGAGGCCCCTAATCTGTCTTAGAATACTGTTAGTTTGAACTTCTTCGAATATTTGTAGTTGGAGTTGTTGCTGTCACGGAATCTTAAGGATGACTCTTCAAATAACCATAGCTAGAGCTGTTGCTGACACACAATCTTAAGGGCGACTCCTTCAATAATCTCAGTAAATTGTTAAGACTTTCCAAGTCTGACAGACAGAACAAATGCATCACCCAGAAACTCCAGGAGACGAAGCTGGTTTGCCTGTTTGTATGGGTGTAACTTGGAGTACTGAGTGTTGGCTGCTGATGATAATAGCATTTCAAAAATAATTGAGCCCGCTGGTCATCAGACTAATAAAGACCCTGACAGCTTCGTAGCACCAATAACACCACAGAGAGCCAATAACGAGATGAGATTAGGCATCATAAAAGATGAGTTTTCGAAGTGTATCTTGTGACGATTGCTATCACCTCGAAAACCTCGAACAATCATGGCCTGCGAAATTGGAAAATCAATTACTACCAGGAAGTTCAGGACAACAGCAGAAGCGGTAACTATCTCCCACAGCCTAGGGTCATCAAATTGTCTTCAGATTTACAAATGACCCATACATCTTGGAAAACCACTAGGAGATGACCTTTCACTTTCCTATAACTCTACCAAATCTGATGAAGATGGAGTCTTCCATACCTTACGTACTTACCATACAAACCGAGACGAGCAATTTTTTTACTACATTTAAACTGTCATACTATCTCTTAAGAATGTGAGTGATTTAAAGATAGATGTGTATGTTCCTTTCTTTTTAAAGGTACATAAACTAATCAGCTAACTGAACTAGTCACAAAGGGAAAGACAATACCAGAAAGTAGTGAAGGCCTCATTTGGCCTCATTCAAGAAATGGATATCACTTGTTTAGCCAGATAAATTTAGACAGCACAATGTAAACAGACTAAACAGTGCAGCCGTGCAGGAACACAGCAGCAAATAATAATTATAATAACCCATCCTTTTTTTTTTACAACCAAATTCCCGAGGGAGTAAGATTTGCCTCAACTAAAGCACTTGTGTTCATTTCTTTAATATATTTCTTTGTTATAAAGGAATCTTCTTCAGATAATTCAGCACATTTAAAATCCAAGCAATTTCTAGCACCTGACCACGTTTAAAATCTTTCTACTATCAACACCCCTTCCAGCCCCTAAACCAAATGGACAACCTTATTTCCTAAACATAAAACCAGGGACCTAAGCACTTCAGCAGATTCGGTTCCGTGTTCTAGCTACCTTGTACAAGTTGCTTTTTCAGTTTTACATGTCTATGACTACTTGACTCCACTTGTCAACAACCACAAACAGAGCATTCTCAGAAATATTCATGAAGGGAAAATAAAACTAAACAGGTTGTCTAAATAAACAATTAAACATTAACACAATAAAGACAACAAAATAAACTGTTCATCGGCCTCCCAAAGAGAAAAAATGTGGCAATTAAGAGGTGGGCTTGCAAATGGATCACATTCCAAAAATTAGCTATTGTCAACTAATGGTCCAGTTAAGAACTACATACACAACTGTACAAAACATAATCACCACAACAACCTGACAAGGAAAATAAAATCTTGGGCAAGTCAAAAATCAAAAGTTGTGTACTTGCATTCGGTTTCAAACACACTGGAACACTATCCTCATTGAAAACTTCTAGTATAGTTTGTGTGAAGTGGGTAGCACAGTTTTGTGTTAGATAATCCACACTTTAAGTTAGTCCATATTACAGGTTATGGCACTTTAAGCCTATAGCTGATGTACAGTAACACTATTCCTGTAGGATACTTCCAGCTAAGTTTATGTAACACAAGTTTATACATCAAATAAATTAATTAAATAAAATTCTCACATTCTGTGCAGCATCAAATTTCTCACAAAGGACTAAAAAAATAATTAAAAAAATATTAAAAAAAAAAAAAAGACAAAAAGAAAAGAAAGGTCCAAAAGAGAAAGAGGTCTTAGGAAAATGTGTAGAACCTGTGATATTTGCTCAGCATGGCAAAAAATATTCTTAAAGATTCGCCTGATATACATCACGAAGACTGCATGTCAAAAAAATAAAAACATTTCATCAGGAGCTGAGCTCTTACAACAATGAACAAAGTGAAAGAAAATGAGAAGGGGAACAGCACTTCCTCAGAACACCACATGTATACATGTACAATCCAACAAAAATAAAGAAAAGCAATGGAATAGTTTGGTGATAAAAGAGAGGTAAAAATGGTCCTACAAAGTGTGAACCAGGAAGGCAATGGAAGTAAAGGATGAAATAGCTACAGCCGAAATAGGGACACCACAAGAGCTCTACAGGAATATAATAAACAGATTACCCAATTTTTTGCATTAAAAAAAAAATAATAATAATAATAATAAAAAAAAAATTAATAGTTGTCTCACATGAGGGAGAAAAGGGTATTGGAGAGGGAAGAAATTTTAATATAAGAAAGAAAGAAAGAAAGAGAAGCCAACAACACATGCTTCACAAGATACAGGAAAAGGAAGGAGTCTAACTTTGGCCATAGAATGTGCTAAATTTCCAGTAAACCAGAAAGTGAGATAAAGAGAGAAGTTGGGAAGAAAAACAGATATTAAAATAGAGAGGAATCAGAATGAGAGGCGAATGAAACCAATTTTATGGGATTTATAGAGGATAAGGGAGGATTTTATCAATTTCCATGACCACAAATTGTGGCAGCATTTTCACAGTTAAACAGAAAATGTAAGACCTGATACAGTTGCTTGGCTGAAAACTGAGAGCTATACTTTGCATATACATTTGACTTGTGTTATAAAAGATCCAGTAATCAAGCACAAAATATTCATAATCAAATATTATGCTGAAGTCCTGCACATACCATCAACTTTCTCCAGGAGTGTCAGATCCTGCCAATCAATTCTACGAGAGAGAATTCCAAGAGCAACATTCCGGACCTACCAGACACAAGTTACATGAGAAGAATACGCGGACTTAACATTATGATTACCGGTTAGAAGCAGCTATAATAAAATGCCTTCAGAGGAAGTGAAAGTAGTTAGCAAACCGACAACACAACCCTGTATTCAACTGTCCTATATGGAAAAAGAAGCACAGAAAAATAAATAAGAATTACCTCATCAAAAATAAGATTTATGAACCTTAACGAAAGCATCAAAGTTAGAACAATTTCATCCACTGGAACACCAATATGTGCTAAAGGGAGCAGGAACCACCGTAACGCTGATGCAAGTTGCTCTGGGGGAGTTGTCGACAAACAGAGGCTAGCACTTTGAAATATCTGTCAAGATAGTAGACACTCACTTCTGCGAGCAGTTTAACTTGCAATAACTTAAATTTGAGCATACAAGAGCACTGAGGTTAAAGATAGATTATTCTATCTACAACGGAAATAAGAATGCAAACAGAAAAGAGGTACTAAGGACATATTTGGCTATAAACTTTACAAAATAGGTGATGTTAATTCATAAACACATGCACTGAGGATGGATATACAGTTCAGCAGAGAACCTATAGGACCTTGGAGATCATAATATAGAACAACCAACTTCAAAAGCACACCAGTAAATAGAACTTACAGTGAACGTAAGGCATGCAGATGTACTTGCAACCGAGAGTCCTTTCCTTGTCATCTGTAAAGGTCCTAACTTAAAAAGCACATATGTATAATTTTTAAATGATGAAGGAATACTTGGAATTCCAGTTAAAGATGGTGTTGGAGTCCTCTGAGAGACACTGGGAAGAACAGTATCAGCAGTCAGTCCCAGCACTATAAATAAAATAATGGACAGCAATGTCACTCTGCCCAATTGATCCTGCCAAAAGGACATAACAAGCTCAAGTGAATTTCAAAAGAAGCTTACATAATTGAACCAGAATATCTTTGCAGTAAAAAAATATGTTACTCATTCCTGGAGGTCCACGAATAATGAGTTGCAAATATAAAGAAAGATTACACCCAATATGTATTATTTGACAGCAAAATGTGAGTGATGTGCACAGTATGTGTTGACTTAAAAGAGAGCCCTTATTTTATTGGGGTCTTCAGAGTTTAAGATATGTGTGTAATGGACTGAGATCAGTCACACAGCAAAATCAATGTAATAGCAAGAACTTCTGATTTTAACTAGTAAATTAATAAAGATTGAAGCTTTGATATTGTTAGATAATGGTGGAAAGGTTACAAAAGGATAGGTTAATAGCTTTAGGCTATCACTCTCAAACAATGGCTTGAGGTCATAACTCTCTAGGTTTCCCAATACTAATTTCTGCCTATCTTTTCTTTCTTCCTCTCTCTCTATTTATACTAAGGCGAAAGGCTCAAACCTAATAATACTAGACTACCAATATTGCCCTTCCTTAGGTTAGTCTATTACAATGTGCAAACTCACTTCAAACCAGTTTTAAGACAAATATGAGGGTAGGCATTAAAATTCCATAATAATATGTTTTTTATTACTGCTATAAGCCTATAATAAATCGTTATAGATAACCAACACATATACCAATATATGAGGTTGTTTCTTAATTCCAAGCTAAACTTCAGTGTTCTCACTAAGAAAAATTCCAATGATAACTGATGAATCCTTTTGGCTTTATACATGGTTTTATCAATTCGCTGGGATAGGGTCAATCAGGGGCTCTATGTTGACAAGTGATGTGTTCATTTCATACTACTAGTATATATTTTCCCTGATTGACACCACATTCAGAATGAGATAACTCAAATACTTCTCAATATTAAAATAGAAAAGAACTCCTTCATACCAACTCCACGCATCAAGGACACCACATTCACTACAAAAATCAAAATTTCACATTGAATACCCCTCCAAAAAATTTACTTCACTGCAATTATACAATAAATAAATAAAGCTAAGTAGTAACGAAATAAAGATGTAAATCATCAAAAAGTAAACAGCTAAGGTTGATAGATAATAATTTGCTGCAGATATATGCAATCTCTGACAAAACCATTACCCAAAAAACCTACTTATTACAGATAGCTCCACAAAATGCAAAATAAATTAATTTACCTTCCACACATCAGTTGGGAGTATCCAAGTGGACAAAAGAGCAAGAGAAAGAACAATCCCAAAGCGCATGTAAATATGGGAGCGAGCGGGCAAAAAAACTAACACTATAAGCCACACCTGCAAAGTGAACGTACGTCTTAACTGATAGAGATAAAGTTCCCAGATGAGAAAAACAAAAGAGAAGCAAATAATCAGGTTTGTTTAGATCAATATAATAAAGACCATGTCACCTCAATGTGTTTACAAACTTTGCATATCTAAGTCACAAACTAGAAATCTACATCATATGCCAAATAATAAGGGGACTAAAAATTTATAACTGTCACACTAGCAGAATGTCAAAATTCTTTCAAGCAACATACTCCATAACATTCCTGTCAAATTTTTTTAAAAAAATAAAAAAACCATATACTCCATAATATTGCTAGGACAATGATATACATGCATAATTATACACATGTTCCACCCACCAAAGCATACATAATTCTTGTTTCAGCCCATATAAAATAGTCATAATGTCCCCAAAAACTATGTTACTCGGACTCTTCATTCACCTCACGTACCCGTGTCGGACCCTCGACACTCGGACATGGGTATGACATCCGGACACTTCACTTTTAGTTCAAAATCATGGAATTTTTTCACAAAATAGCCGAGTCGGACGCTTAGACACATACCCGTGTCAGATATGGGTACCCGAGTCCAAGTAACATAGCCCAAAAACAATTCAAATAGCTGCATAACAATGAAGAAAATTGGGGCTAGAAGTTCACTATTTACTTTGCATATTTTATACAATTTTTTTTTACTTTACAGAACCTGTTAAATTTCGAAACAATATAAAATGGGCTTAGGCAACCCGAACAAGGAGGACGAGAATTTGGTCCACAAACTAGGCTTTGGAGCTTCCACACTAAAACCAATTGGCAATAGTAGGAGTAACTCCTCTACCTTATAAAGTGGAACCACTTCTCCTCTTTCTCCAATGTGGGACACTCACAAGTGGGCTACAATGGGTTTCAACAGAACCAGAAGTGTACTCAACAAATAGGAGTACATTGCTTGATGAATTGAATAAAAAGAGTACAAAAGACTAAACAAGATTCATAATTTCAAAAAAAATCATACAACCTAATCTCTAGGTGAAGTACTTCAAAACTACAGCATATGCTAATTAAAATAAACAAACAGGGACCTTATCATCTAATTAGTATTCAACTTCACAAAAAAGAGCTATTGACTGCTAAAAGGTATAGTACAAGTCAATTGTAAAAGTTAAGTGAATGAAAAGAGGCCATACAAGCACTCATGTTTTCATCTAATGTTGAAGGTATTGAAGAAGAAATGACAAGAAGCATACGCGGCACATGAGAAAGAAGAGGTGCACTACATTAAAATGAGTCAGCAAGGCAGAGGGATACAGCAGCTTGGAATTGGTTGCAGTACAACTAACTATCCTCATTTTCAGAAAATCTGTAAGAACCCCAAAACTTTACAATAAATAGGACATTTTAGATTTACTGTATTTTCATTACAAGAAAATTGTAGATAGATTCTTCCTCCCAAACTTTCAGTTCTTCACCTTCAATAATATCTTAGTTCTAGTTTTGCCAAAGCTCGGAATCTAGGGATAGAGCAATGAGGGCTTAAAATCTTAAATCAATGTGTTCATAGCTTTGTTCAATTTTTTTTTACTATTATTTGCTGCTGATTAGTTCATTTGATTTCTGCTGCAAAACTTTGATATGGTATCAGAGTTACTGATTATGATCTTGAAGAGTTTTTGATGATCAACTTCGTCAGTTTAGTTCACAAGAGCATCAACCAAAGGTACACTAAATTGATCAAGTTATGTAGTTTCTTAAGCATATTTGGTTAGTTCGGATAGTTCTGATTGATTCGTGATTCAAGTAGATCTGTAATTGAGTTTTTCTATTTGTCATGGAAGTAATAAATGAATCACAATATCCTACTCCAACTCTTTTTTTTGTTTAGAAACCTTCTTCCCCTTACTATCTGCATCCTAGTGATAATCCTGGTCAGAAACTTGTCAATTTCAAGTTTGATGGAAATTGCTATTGAGATTGGAAACAATCTACATTAATCAGCTTATCCGCTAAGAACAATTTAGGTTTTGTAGATGGAAGTCTATTAGTCTAGTTAAACCAGCACCAACCAGTATTGTGGGAAATATGTAGTAGTACGATAGTCTCTTGGCTGGTAGGTATTTTGGAGCAACATATAGCTAGGAGTGTACTGTATTTCAACACTGCAAGATTTGAGCTATGTTTTATCCTCTACAACAAGCTTTACATTATATTAGGCAGGTACAAAACAGTGTATGAGGATATTACACTAAGATTAAGATGATTTGGGATCAATTAGATAAAGTTGATCCACTTCCTATGTGTGCTTAGGTTGTACAAATTGCAACTGTAATGTTGCTCAGAGATTGCTTAAATCACAACAAAATAGAAGGCTGGTTGAATATTTGATGAAGCTGAATGAAGGATTTGGGGTAGTCAGAGGAAGCATTTTGATGGAAAGTCTTTTGCCGAACATTTCACATACTTATAGACTTTTGATGCAAGAAGAGAAACACAAACAACTGAGACAGCAGCTACTACTGAGACTATGGCTTTTGCTGCAAAATATAGGAAGCCTTATGAGCAAGATAAGTACAGACAGAACAAGGATCGAATAAAGGTGACCTAATATTGTGATCATTAACATTTTCCAGGGCATAATATACAGAGATGCTACAAATTCAATGGTTATCCTCAGAACAATTATGCTGATAAGGGGAAGAAAATGGCATCAAATGTTCAGTTTGAAGAGTTTACTGAGTCAGCAGAATAATGAGGCCACATTGAGCAATGAGCAATACCAGAGAGATTCTTTCTTGAAGTATGAGATGAGTCAGCAGAAAATAGTGAAGGTCAATCATCCAGTTCTCATGATACATCTACCAGCTCATGTTGCAGGTAAATTCTGTTTTGCTTCTTATGCAAACATAAAAATGGATAGTTGATAGTGGACTAATCATATGTATTTTGATGCATCTTTATTTGACATTTAGTCAATTCATTGGTCCAAAAGATCATATCAATATTCCTAATGGAAAAAGAGTCATAGTTACTCATCTAGTCACAGCAAGGTTAAATGATCATATCACTTCGCAGAATATGTTATAAACTTATAAATGCTTGATTCAGATACAATCTAATTTCTATACCAAAATTGTGCAAAGATTTGGGATGTCAACCTACATTTATCAACTGTGGTACTCTGACTCGTATTTGAGTGTCGTGTCCGACAAGGTGTCAGAGGGCCACCTTGTCGGACACGACACTCAAATAGTCAAATACGAGTCGGAATAACATAGGAAAAAACACCTAGAAATTCAGTCTAATGCAAATAATACTTATTATTATTATTATTGCACCCTGAGCACTGGAAGAGATTAGCCAAACAAATGCAATGCAATATGGGCAAAACCCATAGCCTGATTATCAGAGGGAGAGTCAATTGAAACTCTTACATTCTTATAACTTGAGCCCGAGAAATAAGTCCCAGCTTATCCCGTGTTCCTCTTTATATGCCTAAGTTAAAAAATTCTCATGGTACATCAAAAGTTGTTGCTTTTCATCCACAAAAATTTCTGATCATCTTGGACTATTACATAATGCAAGTAATCTAAAAAGGTATTTGTGGGCACCTATGATAACACACATAGTATCCTTATTTAGTCATATAGTTACTTATTGCGGATACTTAGGGCGTGTTCAGCGCTAGCGTTTGAGCAGTTTTTAGGTAGCTTTTAGTGGTTTGACCAAGTCAAACCACTACTTAACAAAAAATGTGAGTGTTTGGCAAAGTAGTGGTTAAGGTAGCTTTTAGTAGTGGAGGTGGCTTTTATGAAAAGTTACAAATATTAGCTTTTGAAAGTAGAGGTAGCTGTTCAAAATATAATCTATAGTTTTAAATGTAAAATATTGATTTTTATATGTAACAGTTAGTCGACCGCTACTTTACCGAACTCTTATATCTAAATTATCTATCTTCACAACTATAGCTAGTTGAAAGCTAAAAGCTACCTATACAGCTTACATCTACCTTCACAGCTTACAGCTACCTTCACAGCTATATTTTGCCGAACACGCCCTTAAAGAAGGGGGAAAATAAAATGTCAATTGAGACCATCAGGACTCATTGGTCATCACTCATGTTAGCCAAAACAACTACATTAAATAACATGAATACGTTCACAAGCAGGGGTGGAACTTAAGGGGAAGTAGGCACCCAAGGGAGCTCCAGAGCACCCCCCACTTTTTCAATTATTTTTAAATACTTAAGTTAAAAATGTTAAAATCTTTTTTGGAAATAGATGAAACTTTACTTGGTCCCCTCAAATAGCCACATGAAAATTTTGGTCCCTCGAAAGTAATTTTCTGGTTTTGTTCACAATTGTCCATTGGGGTTCTCTCGTTGTTGCAACATTATGTTAGAGCATACACTTCCACAAGCACCAAAATAGATTGTCTATTCTCAATATTTAGATATAATGAAAGCATTGCCAAATGAATTTACTCTTAGCTACAATAAGCAAGCTATAAAGTTAGTTATCACAAAGGACCATTGCATACAACAACAAAATGATTACCCCATTGCTTCTAAAGAAAATACTGCTCTTACTACGGTAAGAGCGGTCTCGGATGTATGCAGCCTTATCCCTTCGCATCGTGACAGCAAAAGAGCAATCACATAATTACATATCAATGAATATCAAAATCACAGCTTCAATTAAAACATAAAATTCTCTCCAACAACCCACTAACATTGTCACAATTCACAATCATCTTCTCATATAGCTAGGCATACATAACATACACCAATTTCAAATAATCAAAAGGGAGTCATTCATACAGTTTACATGAAAGCAATTGTTTCAAACATATATAAAAATACCCTAAAACAAAATCAATAACTCAAATCAAATCAAATTAAATGAGGGAAATTACCAATTTGATTCTAGAGTCAACACAATGCAAGAAAGTTGTAGGAGAAGTAATGAACTGACAAATTGGACTTGAGGTAGCACTAGCAATTGATTGAAGAACCTTATCAGGCCCAAAATCAAGTCTTTTGGGCACCCATTTCTTCCAATTAAAAGCTCCTCCATCATTGTTAACTGCTATTGAACGCTGAATTTTGTGGGGCCTCAAATTCCATGGTTTTAAAGTTGAAGGTAGGAAAACAGTTGGTTTAAACTGGGTTTTAAGATTTTGAAGTGGGGTTTTGAAGTGAGGGGGAGAAAGTAGGATTAGGGTGTGAGAAATGATCATGATTTTATTGGTTTTGAAAATGGAATTGGGTTGAAATTCAGGGGTTAGTGGGTGCGCAAATGCACACCAGTCACCAGTGACACCCTTTTGGTCTGACTAATGCATTCAACTTCAGCAGAAGAACAGATGGAGTGTAGCATATGGTCAATTGCTCAAGGACTGAAAAGATGTTAGCGCGGATAGGCCTATTGATTTAAGTATGGGGTGAGCAAAAACTTTGGATACCTGGAAATTGGATGGAGTGTAGCATATGGTCATTTGATAAACATATCAAGAAGATCAACTTTTACTTTCTCGTTTTGAATCAGGAATTTCAATGAAACCTAGTGGTTTTAAAGCCGGATAATAAAATCAAATAACGTAAACCAAAAGAGTTGATTGTAAATAGTCCAGGTTCCTAATTTTCTAGAGTCATAACCGATTATATATTAGGAGTGATATAATAGGTAAGGGTGAGCATGGGACGGGTACCCGTACCGTTAACACTATCGGTTCGGGTACCTCATAACCAATAACACTAAAAATGATATACATTACCCGAACCAATAAGTTCGGGTACCCGAACTTCGGGTACCCGGATTTTCGGTTCAGTTATCGGGTACCCAATATGATTTCCAATAATAAAAATTTAGACTTTATAATATAGTTATTATGATATCATTCAACACTAATTAGCAATAACACCACATGATCATGACCAAATTACTAATAATTACTAATCATTTAAATTATGAAGTGATTACGAAGTAAAATAATCGTTTAGATTTTGAATAAATAGATTTAAGTAAAAAAAAAAAAGAAAAAATTGTTTATCGGAACGGATCGGGTAACCGTTAATTTTAAAATGATACCCGATAACCGTACCCGATAACAAATTATCGGATCGGGTACCCGAACCGTTATGGTTATCGGAACGGGTACCCTAATTTTCGGTTCGGTTACGGTTCGAATTTTCGGGTTTTCGGTTTTTCGGATAATTTTGCTCAGCCCTAATAATAGGTAAAAGATAAAAAAAGAAAGTATTTTTAAAAAAAAGGAAAATTTGCAAATTAGTACCTTAAAAAGAGGGTCTTTGTGAACTATTATCCCTAAAAAAATTGTTAATTACTATCACTAAAACCAAGTAATTCTAATAACTACTACATTTTTCCCTAATCATCCTACTTAATCATTTAATGACATCATTATCCGTTTAAATTGTAATTAATAGCTTTAAAACCTTATAATTAGATAAATCCTGCACCACCATTGCACCACCTCCAGGCTCCAACAATCCCCTTACCACCTCCGACAGCTCCCCCACCATGAATCTCGTTCCCTTTTCGATCTCCCACCGCAAAAACCACCCCTCCCGTTCCCCCACCACGAAATCCAATCTAATCTAATCTCCACTCTGCTTCCCACCACAATTCCCACCCGGCCCCCACCTCTCCCCTACCATGAATCCCATTCCCCTTCTGTTCCCCACAATGAATTGCAGCCTCATCACGTGGTTGGGCTATTTTCGAGGCTTGGGGGAAGGGGAGAGGTGGTAATCGAGGTTTGGGAAAAGGGAGGGGATGGGTTTTAATTTAAGGGTTGGGACAAAGGAAGGGGAGATAATTGCGGTGGGAGAATGCGAAATGGTAGGTTTCGTGGTGGATGATCAAGAGGGTGATAAATCAGGGTGGGGGAGCTGTCGGAGGTGGTGTGGAGGTGATAGATGCTAGGGTTTACATAATTAATTAAGGTTTTAAAGCTACTAATTATAATTTCATTAAACAATTATTTCATTAAAATCTTAAGTAGGCTGATTAGGGTAAAAGGTAGTAGTTACTAGAATTAATCGGTTTTAGGAGTAGTAATTAACAAATTTTTTTAGGGGTAATAATTCACAAAGGCCCTCTTTTTGAGGTAATAATTCACAAAATTTCCTTAAAAAAAAGGCTAAAATCATAAATAAATAATAAAAACAAACAGTTACAATTATCGAAACCATAAAATTAAATTGAACAAAGTGAAAATTATTATTGGGATTGTGTAATATTATTTGTAAATCATTTACAGGTATATATACGAATGGGTACCCGAAATCGAAACTGATACCAATAGTTCTCAGTCCAATTCCCAAATTTTAGGAACCAATTTTGTTTTCAAATTTTAGAAATGGGTCCCAAGTGGTACAAATTTTGAAAAGGTATTCCATTGTGCTCACCCCTTAAAGTATTATTCCTTGTCCCTTAAATTAAAGTTTGTCCTATTATTTTTTTTAGTCTTTTTTTTTTTTACTGAATTAAGTTGAATTGAAATGATATGAATTAAGGTGAGATTCAAATAATAATTATGCTCAAGTGAAGATAACACACCATAAGTAAGTTTTGTAATCATATCTTAAAACACTCCCTAAAATAGTTTGAACTTGTTTGTTTTTTTAGGCTTTGTTTGGTTCAATATTAGTAAAGGAAAAGAAGAGAAAGGATGGGAAGGGATGGAAATGAAGGGAAAGGAAGGTGATTTTATTTTCCAATATTTGGTTGATGAAAGGAAATGAAGGGAAGAGAAAGGAAATTACTTTTATTTTTCTCGTTCCAGTCAAATTCCTCCAATTTTCCAAAATTTTGTTAAGAGACTTTCCTCCCACTTCCTTTCCTTTCCTTTAGATTTTTATGTCATTTATTCAACCAAACATGGGAATATAATTAAAACAATTTCCTTTCTTTTCTTTTCCATCCAAATCCCTTCAACCAAAAAGGGCCTTAATGTTTCTACATATTTTAAGGAAGTTTTATAAATATTTTTATCGTTTTTATTTAAGAAAAACGCAAATTCTTTTTATTAATATTTTTCAAGGTAAAACACAATGTCGGTGGAAGATCCCGCACTTGTTTGGTGATATTATGTTCTTTCTCAATAATTTCTTAATTGCGAAGCCCAATTATATTTACTAAGAAACAAACCAAGTAGCAAATTATGTTGACTTGCTAGGTCACTTAAGACAAGCTCATCAAAATAGGTTCTCTTGAAGATAGTAAATTCATAATTTTTGTTCTAATAAGTTAAGTTATAGTCTTGAGACACAATTTAGGGTCTGTTCTCATACATTGAAATTCAGTTCAGTTCAATTCAGCTCAGTTTAGTTCAACTCCTAATTTCCTTCTATTATAAAATATTCATTTCACTTCATTTCAGTTTATTTCAGTTTAATTCAGTTGAGTTCAGTCAATGAAAACAGGACCTTACTAACTTTGTGTATCTTTTTATTTTAAAATAAAAATATTCAAAAACGGACAAATATTAAAAGTTACAAACTAATATGATCTCAATATAGTGTGATCGTATTGGTCCTTTATTTCTGATCAAGGAAAAGAAAATGTTGGATCAAAATTAAAATAGATAAGATGTGATCAGAATTTGGCCACACCCGAAGCTTGTTGCAGCCCTACTAGGTGCTTTGGTCAGTAGTTCAGTGATCTTCAAGTTGTGTAGTATGGTATATAGATTATACTGATGTTACCAATATTTTGAGGAAGATGTAAACCAAAATTAAAAATATAATTAATTCAATCCTAAATCAGTTTATCTAGAATTTGGATTAATTCAACTTGAACCAGATATCAAAGATTAATACGGCAGGTGGTGGGTGATGAGTAGGGGTGTTCATAACCGGGTACCCGGAATTTCGGGTATCCGGAAGCACGGGTACCCAGAAGTGTGAGTAGTAATTTGGACGGCCCATTACCCGACCCGGTAAAAGCGGGTACCCGGTACTCCTTGGGTACCCGAATTTAAATATGTATGCTATTTTTAAAAAAAAAAAACACACATGTTGTTATATGGACTTATAAACCTGCTGTTAAAGTTCAAAGTTCAAGGTGTCTAGCTAGAGAGAGTTCAGAGAGTTTAAGGAGTTTACATCAAATTAAAACAAAACAACCAAATATATTACAAAGTCCAAATAATATTTCAAAGCCACAAATCAAACTAAATGGGAGAGAGGATCATTTCAGTCGCTTGTGACATCCGAAGCTTCAATTGCCTCATTGATGATAATTGTTGGTTGCTCCAAAACCAAGTCTTAACCCCTGCACAAAATAATCATTCCAAAAAAAAAAACATATATCAATTGTAGAATATCACAAAGAATTAACAAGCAAACATGAAAATAACTTATCAAACATAAGCAACGAAATGGTACAAAATGCAAGCAAACATGAAAATAACTTATCAAACATAATCACACTTAATCAGCAAATTAACCCCAAAAAATTCAATTAAAAACCCTAAAAAATGTGATTGAAAATAACTTGAGTATAATCACACATAATCAGCAAATTAATCCAAAAAAATTCGAAAAAAAAAACCTTAAAAATGTAATTGAAAATAACTTGAGTATAATCAAACATAAGAAAAGAAATTTACCCAAGAAAATTCGACAAAAAACCCTAAAAAATGTAATTGAAAACAACTTGAGTATAATCAAACATAAGCAAAAAATTAACCAAGAAATTCGACAAAAAAACCCTAAAATATGTAATTGAAAACAGCTTGACTATAATTCAACATAAGCAAAGAAAAACTAACCAAAACAATTCGAGAAAAACACCAACCTTACGCGGCTGACGGTGGTCGGTGAGGGAGTGACGATCGACCGAGGTTCGCCTGAGAGGGAGGACGTCGGTCGTCTGAGAGGAATGAAGGAGGGTCGCCTGAGAGTGTGTGTTTGAAAATTGAGAGTGAGCGAGGAAAGAGGAGAGAGGAGAGAGAAGAGGGGTAAGCTTGAGAATTGAGATGCGGCTACTGATTGTATGAGGAGAGAGATGAGTAAGTAACCCTAATTTGAGTTCCAGCCAAGAAATTTTTTTTTTTTTTAAAAAAACCCGGGTATTTAACGGGTACCTGCGACACTCAAAGGTCGGCCCATTACCCGACCCGCAAATATGATATTTTAGCGGGTCGGGTACTCGACCCGCAAAAATGGGAAAAAAATCAAAATTACTTGGCAGGTACTTTGCGGGTCAACGGGTCGGATCAAACGGGTCGGGTATTTTTGAACACCCCTAGTGATGAAAATCGATCCCAAGAAATCCTTAAATCGGGAGGAAATCTCTAATCAACTAAGCTATCATTAAGTTTAATTTTAGATATTATATTGTTCCCTTTTTTAGCCGATTCTTATATACCTAAATTTTTTAATTTGTTTACCTGTGTCAAAAAACAAATGTCATGTTTAGCTCTTAACTTTTGTATTAATTAGTGTAACTTCATACAAGCCTGTTCCGTTCAGCTTAATTTCAATTCCGTTCAGTTCCTAATTTTCCTCTCTCGTAAATAATTCATTTCAGCTCTATTCAGTTTAGTTCTATTCAGCTCACTTCAGCCTCAATCAATTTAGTTCAGTTCAGTTGCTTTCAGTAAATCAGAATATACCCTTACTACTAAGGAAATCTAGATCTAACTACATAGTGGACCCTCCATTTTTAAATATTTGATTCATTTTCCTTTTTCGGTCGTTTTTAAATACTTGCTCCATTTCCTTATTTGGAAACCTTTTACAATATTAAATTAATTTCTCTTACATAGTGGACCCACCATGATCATATTTTATTATTTTCATATTCTCTCTCCTCCAATTCTCTCCACTACTTTTACTTTTTATAATTTTTTATTCTTCCACCTACCGCATTACCTCCATATTTTATTAGTTTTTTCAATTTCTCCTAAAACTTCGCGCATGGAGAAATGGAGCAAGTATTTAAAAACGGAGGGAGTATATATGTTGCGGCGGTCCGGCAGTCTCTATAATAGTTTATCAACTAATTGAATTTATATTAGGAAAAATTGAGTTTATAAATCCCAACTTTGGGCGGTTTACAATGAAAAATCTCAACTATGCATTATCCCGTAAATATCCCAACTTTGATACCAATCTTCTTGTAAAGAACCCAGATGACCGTTTACATGAAAACAAGGTTAACTCTTTTTTTTTTTTTTTTTTTAAATAAAATAAAAAAATTTGCCACTTGTCAGAATTTTAGTGGTCCAAAAAATAAAACTAATTGTTTTTTTTAAATCTGATATGATAAAAAAAAAAAATCCAACCCAACCCCCACCCCATCTCGCCGGAAAATCGGCCCCCACTTCCGAAAACTCCTCACCCACTGCTGGAAAACGGCGCCCCTCCCCCACCCTCGAAACCCACCCTTTTCCCTCCCCCACAACCTTGCAAAAACCCTCCCACCCTAAACCCTAAACCGGAAAACACCCCCTCCCAAGACCCCCACCCTGGAAATCGCCCCCTCCCTTCCCCCACCCCTGAAATCGATCCACCGGGAGTGTTCCACGTGGGTGGTGAAGGGGGGTCGATTTCAGGGGTGCGGGAATTGAAGGGAGGGGGGGCGATTTCGAGGGTGGAGGTTTTAAGACGGGGTGTTTTCCGATTTAGGGTGGGAGGGTTCCGCGAGGTTGGGGGAGGGTGGGCGCCGTTTTTCGGCGTCGGGGAGGGGTTTTTCGGGGGTGGGGGGCCAATTTTCCGGCGGGGGTGGGGTAGGGGTAGGGTGTTTTCCGGGAGGGGTAGATTTTTTTTAATTATTTTTTTTTTTTAACCAATTCCGTGTTGACACATGGATTGTAACTTGAAGTAATAAAAGGTTTGGTGACCTGTTGGGATCTTTAAAAGAATATGGGTATCAAAGTTGGGATTTTTAAGGGATTAACGAATAGTTAGGATTTTTCATAGTAAACAGCCCAAAGTTGGGATTTATAAACTCAATTTTTCCTTTATATTATCGTGATCCACCAAGGTAAAATGAACTACTACTCATATATAAAGACAAACAAATTGAAGACTTCGACAAAGGTTTCCACATATATAGGATGAATGAATGATGAATTTCTCTCACAATGTGCAAATTTAAGACTTTAAAGATGAATAAAAACTGAATTTGTACGATGAAGTTTTCTCTATTACGGAGTATATAATTGATTAAATTGAATGGTGGAGGGACTGGTGTCCACCTAAAATTATGTTTCTATTATTTCACATATAAATATCTATATTGACAACTATAGAGATCGAAAGGGAACAAAGTTGTACAATACTTAATCACAATAATTATACTACCTTCAGTTCAAATTACTCGCAAATTTGGGATATTATTTATGAGATATAAAATATTCCAAAGTTGCGAGTAATTTGGAGCGGAGGTAGTACAAATTTAACCTTATCTAATGTGTGTAACCAAAAAAAAAAAAAGGATGGAAAAAAAATGATTTCTAATAAATTTCAACCTAAATAACCAATAACTACTTAAAAACGTAGTAAGGGAATAAATAGATTTTTGCAAATCATGGATCAAATCATATTTGTTTTCATCACTTAGTTTTCAGTTGTCCTAACAATAATCTAAACAAGCTTAAACAATTAAAAGTAACTAATTATATCCCAAAAGAATTAGTGTTAATTAACTACATAATTATGTTACATTTGTGATCGATCATGTGAATGCCTGAATGTTAGATGTCGAAGAAACCCGCCGAAATTCGTTAACCACCAAGGTCTAATATCTCAATGACAGTTAGCGGCAGGTAATGCATGGAATCGAACAATACCACGTGGATTTCCTTTGTCAGATTCCCAAGATAGGACAAAATGAAAGTATAGGATCTTATATTATTTTATTATAATATTAATTACCTCATGTTGTTCATATTTCATAACACACTTACATTATATTAAACCTAATTATATATAAATTCCATACAAAATACTACGTAGGAAAGAAGAAAAATATAATTAGATTAAAGAGCTTCAATTAAACGATAACAGGAATCATAATTAGATGGGAAAAGAGGCAAAGCTAAAATATCAAAATAATAATTTATATATTATTAAAAAATAATTAAAAGAAATAAATATCAAAAAAATTAAAATAAAAAATTTAAAAGAAATAAAAGTAGGGTGGGGGAGACATAGGGGGACCCTTTATCTTTTTGTAATTTCTTTTTGTTTTATTGGTGCTTATATAATTGCCTTGTTAAGTTTCCTTTTTTTATACCAAACCCTACCTTAACATTTTTGGTCTCCTCAAACTTGTTCTTTTTTCTCTTTTGAGTCTTCATCTTCTCTTAGCTTACCACGAGAGAAAAGCAAGCTCAAGAGAAAAAGAAGACGAAGAACAACAACAACAACTCAGTTGATAATATATGGCGCCTGTTGCATTGCCACCCGGTTTTCGGTTTCATCCAACCGATGAAGAATTGGTGGCTTACTATCTTAAGAGGAAGATCAATGGTCGTAAGATTGATCTAGAGGTCATTGCTGAAGTTGATCTCTATAAATGTGAACCTTGGGACTTGCCAAGTACGTCTTTCGTTCTTGCATAACTTAATTAGCTAGATTTTTTTTTAATGTGCATTTTTTAAGTTCAAAATTTTTCATTAACTAATATATTTAAATTATTAAAGGAATAGAAATAATTAGTTTTTGTTTCATTTTTTTCAAGTTTTAGTTGCATGGATGATTAAGTTGTATAAAACTCAATTTATTTCAATTTTTTTTTTCATTCGATAATAGTAGTTTTCTTATTTTAACAACAAATGGATAATCATATTTTTTTTTTATTTAAATCATTTAGAGATAATCATAGTTATGTAACTACTATCAATAAAAAGGTATATATGTGGTAGATATATATACGATGCATGATATATACATGCTAAATTCGTATAATCTTGTATATAAATCGATTTCAAGTTATAATATATATGTTTCTGTTATTCAGTATTTAGGATCCTATTAAATAAATAAAAAAAAAATCTTGGAAACTAAGTCTTGCATGGAAAAATGTGTTTTTAGATAAAGAAAAACTAGTACTTCGCATAATCTATGTCCAATTTATGTCTAAACAAACTTTCTTTTTAATTGTTTTTATACATAAATTAAATTCTAGAATTACATTTATTTACATAAAAATGGATAATAGAGGTAAGATATAACAGAAGAAACTTGAAACTTGTTGGAGGATTAATCGTTTACTAGTCAAAAAGAAATCCTTTGCTTTATAAGGTTTCCTTTCTTTTTAGGGCTTTGCAATAATTGTTCTTTTAATTTCTAGGTTCTACTTACATTATATGCTTTTCCTTTGAAGCACTTCCCTTCAGCTTATTTAATTTTTATTTTTTTTCCATTTCTTTTTGCACAATCAACGTCGGAATGTATCATGAAATTAATCGAATCACGAAAATAGTATTAATGGCTTTTCCAATTTCCAAGAGATTCATTTTCTTTAGCTTGTTTAACGCGTATCAAAGTTTATAATAAGAAAAATCTTGTACTTATAGTTCAAGTATTATTAGTTATTATTTCATGACAATATTAGAGAAAAATAAGATTTAATTTTTATGGAATTTTCATATTGAAGGTAAATCGCTACTACCAAGCAAGGATTTGGAGTGGTATTTCTTTAGCCCTAGGGATCGCAAGTACCCTAATGGCTCGAGGACTAACCGGGCAACAAAGGCGGGTTATTGGAAGGCCACAGGAAAGGATCGAAAGGTGAACTCACAATTACGAGCTGTGGGGATGAAGAAAACATTGGTTTACTATCGAGGAAGAGCACCTCATGGACATCGAACTGGTTGGGTTATGCACGAGTATCGCCTTGATGAGAGGGAGTGTGAAGTTGTTTCTGGTTTACAGGTATGTACCTATATATTCTCAAGATGAACATGATCATATAGTAGTAAATATTCAATGCATTTCATATAATTAAGAGTAGTATGTAATGTCCTAAGATCATAAGGTCATGTAACTTATTTCTATATGTAACATTAATTTGTCATTTTTATGAACAAACTATGGAAAATATATAAGTAAATAGATGATTAATTAAATTAGAAATTAAATGAAGAACA